TCTGTTTTTTAAGAGTTTTGGAAGTTAATCAGCGTACGTGCGAAATCCCGAATTCCCGAATCCGCAGGTTCTACTACAATAATAAGTCGATGGCTTGGTAGCGAACTTCTTGTATTTATCGTATGCTCGTTCTTGTTCAGAGAACTAGATTGCCAAGAACAGCTCATGCACTAGAGGTCCTCCGGTGAGCACGATACGTTGGCCTACGACGCTGCAAGCGACAAGGGCGCGGCGACCAGCTGCACTGTCGAACCGATCTCGTGCTTGCGTTTTCGGGACAAACACGTCCAGAAAACGTGTCGCTGTCGATTACGTCCACATAGGAAGTCAGAATGCGCTGACACCCTTATCACAGTTTCAAATGACGAAAGTGGTACAAGTCTGCGATGCGAGTCTGACCACCAGATACATGGGTGAGATTCCACATTTATGGTAACCGCAAACGCTGCCTTTGAATCTGTATACATAAGAGGCACTTTTAGATTGAATTGAGGTCTTAAACAACCTTTGAATGCAGGAAGATGAAATCAGAGAATGCGCAAGGCAAGCTAGCAAGCTCACCTTAATCCACCAATTGAACTGATGTTCACAATCAAGCCGCTGCCATTCTTAACCATCATTCGAGAAGCATACACGGAACAAAAGTAGTGATTTCTGTAATTTTTCAACACGGTAAACAGCGACACGACTGGAGAGGGCAAAGCTACAGAAAGCGTGCAAGCAGCAATGAGAACATAGATTACTTACCTCAGCCCCACGTTATTCACTTCATCCCACATTTCTGGCGGACACTCGTAGAATGGCTTGTCTGTCATGGCAATAATAGTCTAAATATAACAAAGGTCAACAAGAGGGTAAGCGAGAAGCGCTTATAACTGGCTAACAAAGGAGTGTGGGCGGGAGTTTACTTCTAAGCACTGTAACCCGATCTAAGCTCTGTGACATAACCGCCATGTGTCAAGTACCCACCCGATATGACTGGGACTCCCAGTCACCCACAACAGGTGCTATACATAGAACTTTGAAGGAGTGAAAGGCTCACAGACTTCAGATTCTATCATTGTGATTTTAGCCGTAGCATTTCACTTACCTTTACTGCAGAGTAGGCGTTATTGACAAGTATGTCCAGCTGTCCGTTGTGGTCTCGTTCCACTTTCTCAAAGAAGGCCTTGACTTCGTCCATGTTTGAGTGGTCAACGTTTCCTTTTCGCACCTCGTCGGGCGGTTCCCTCTAATAAAAAAAAGCTGGTTTCAGAGTTCTTCATAAGAAACATCTTTTTTCCTAAAAATTCCCAAAGCAAATGCCCGCCTCTAAACCACACATTCACCGCGATTCTGCGCTGTGGTTCTAGTGTACATAGATTTCCTTAACAAGTTTCAGCGACTACATGATGAAGAAAGGAAGCAGTCCTTGCAAATTGCCTCGCAAACAAGATTCGGACTCACTTTCACGCCATTTTACGGTTATGAGAGGTAGAGACGTAAAGGAGCCTGGACAGCCCAAGAAAGGGGTGAGAAACTACGCGCTCATCACCGATGTCGGAAATCTTGATTGTAAACTCCCGAAAGCCTTCACCACATTTATAGCATTGAGAGAAAGAAGCAGAGCAATCGACACTACGAAAGGGCGAGTCACCTGTCACGGCACGCCTAGTCACGCTTGCAAGAACTATCCTGGAGGGTGCGAAAGGGGGCAAATTCTAAGCGATGTACGCCTGGCGACGTCCACGAGTATAAGCAATGCTTTCGAATATAATAGTCGTGGCAAGATCTTTTACTCTGTGTCATACCTCATAATATGTCGCGTAACGAACCTCGTCGTCGACTAAACTCGAAAGATTAGATAAGTATCGATTCAACGCCATTTCGTCGATTGCGGCGACGAGATCGTGAGGTATGAACGCTGCCTTAGAGCGCGAATGGAATATAATAGTCAGTGAATTCCTTTACTGAATTGAATCTATTAATGGCCCTTCGAACAACCTGTTCCATGTTGAAGTAGATCCATCATAGCTGCGCATCGCTCTGCTCAGTGTTTTCACATCCCTGTTACATAGACCCGTGGCAACCGGCCTTCCACCAACGCCTGCAGTGCCGAATACCATCGACTTTAACTAGAAATAGTTTCAAAGATGAGCAACAAATATACTTTACTTAATTTCAGAAAAACGCGAAGTCTCAATAGGAAATCACGACAACATTCGAACATACGAGCATTGAAGGCACGTTAAACCATGCGAAACATTCCTCAAGTTGTTAAAGATCGTCCCAGGACAGACTGTTGTTACTCGACCTAATCCCTAATGAAAACCAAGAGCTTCATAGATTGAAGTAGCCCACCACACACCCACAGCAATGCACACGCCCCTCGAAACGCGTTATTTGCCCCCCCCCCCCCCACTCTCCCCCACCGTTTGAGAGTTGATTGAAGAAATCCACCCCAGTTCGTTGGCAAACTCTGGGAAAGTTTGGCGAGCGATAGTTGGTCGCTTAGTGAAGAGCCAGGGGCGGCTTAGCCGAGAGAAAATAGGAAGGACGTTGCCAGATTCAGCGAACAACGTCTCTCTGACCTGTCTTAGTGAAAACAAGCTCGACTGCTAATCGAAATAATACTCTCGGAATAGAGGCCTAAATCCGTTGACCTCCAGCAACTTCGGCACCGAGCTCATTTTTAATTACCTAAGTCGCCAAACCCGCTGAAAATATGTACACAAGGGTTATTTACCATCCTGATTACAATCTACACTCATCTTCGGCGCTAGCGCCAAGGTAACCACACATATCCCATCGGGGCTCACCTTAGCGAGCGCAATAATCGAGTGTCATCCATAGCCCAAGCGGCAAGAGTGAATTCATATGTAATCAGGATGCTAAACCCACCCACCACATAACAATTTTTAGCGGATTGAATAACTTAGCTTAAAAAATGATTCGGTGCGAAGTTGCCTGAGTCCAAACGCACTTAAGCCGCATAGAGGCTCTACGTATTCGACGTATTATTTCACCGTATGTTACAGTACGTTTAAGGGGCGTTAAATAACTCTATAATTACTGGCAGAAGCCAACCAAAACAAAATAAAAATATTGAGGGCGATGGATCTCACCAATTCCTCGCGAGGCTCCAGTTACAATCGCGACTTGTCCAGCCAAAGACATCCCTGGAATCGAAGGCAAATGAGAATGAAATGAAATTCGCCATGTAGGGCCGTGTTCATACTTTTTGGCAACGTTTTTGATCTCTAAGTTTTCAGCATGAACATTCAAAATGAAACATGAAGAACCTTAGAACCGAGCAAAAATTATATGTGAACGAATAATCGAGAAAAAACTAATACGTTCATAGAAGGACTTACTTCGTCTTGCGAATCGTCTTTATTCCGCTGCCAACAACAATTTAATAAACGGCGCATTGTTCGGCACTTCTTAGTTCGTACAATGTCCCTCCAAAAAGTGTTCTGGAGCTTGCAGTAATCCCGCAGGCAGTTTGAGACCAATGTTGTCTGCGGACCGCTGCCTGAGCCGCATCAATTTCTTTTCTTGTCTGCGCCCTCTAGTCTACATAACGACCACGAAAACCTCACTCGTCGCAATCAGTGTCAAGCATTGTGTCGAGGGGAATTTTAGCGCGGACGTAGCTGGGGGGGGGCACTTGAGCGCTTCCCTATCCTTATCCTTAACGACGGCCTAGGCTTATTGTTAGTGAAGGCTTTGCCTCCTCTGCGGGATCATCACTCGGCGACTGGTCGTCTGCATTCTGGGCCTTTTCTGGGATTTTCTGATTCTGGATCTCTTGGCAAAGTGATACAGAGGCGGGGCCAAGTGCCCCCTCGCTTCAACTAAGTAGCTCGAAATTCCTGCGTAAAAACGACTACATATTTCCACATGATTTATAGTTCATGCGTTGATTTAAATACTTTCAACTCATTCTGGAGCCATAATCCTCAGTGGAAGTCACATGCCAGGTCACGACGCGTATGCGCGCGTGTTCTGCAGCGTCTCCAGCAGATAAGGTCACTTTGAGGGAGCTTTTTGGTTAAAACAATAGGCTTAGCCATAAAAGATGTTAAAGCGAGTGACCCTTAAGACTCTTTGCCAGCGCTAGAAAAACTGTTGTCGGGTACGCTTTCTTCACCAAGGGTTCCAACGATTCCCGTTTCGAGCATCAGCTGAGAACAGGGCAGCAGTGGTTAGGCAACATTCAGACTTCGCGTCGACTCGCTATAACGCGCTGTCACGCGCGTCGACGCCTGTTACAGTGCGTCACAGCGCGTCAACTGAACCTCCGCCTCAGGTCCACCTGCATCGCATTCCGGGTTGGCCTTGTTTATGTTGACACGGAATTAAACCTATTGCTGGCACCGTTGGGGGAAAAATTTTGCAGAATATCCCTTAGAATTTCCCGTTTATGGTACGGTGTTCCTCCTTCCCCATCCTACTACCATTGCCAACAATCCCAGTTTTCGACCAGTTTCTCATCGAGAACACTACCGTCAAACAAGATTTGAAAGGCGTGAGGAGGGTTGTAGCAAAATCAAAAGCCAACAACCGAAAATACTTCTCTCAGGAGCAGAAACGGCCTTTTCTCCCACTCCGGCCAAATCCGATCCCCCTGCTGGAGATCTCCAACGCACGGCGTGCCCCGAAGACCACAGACGAGATTATAGGCCAAAGAGCGCTGATATTTCCAAGCAAAAACTAGTACAGTTCTGTCCTGAATTCCTCCTGCTGAAACGTGAGTAAAAACAAAATGGGGCTGTTGGCAGCACAGGCACACGGTCACTACGTTCCCTGATAAGATGACGTGTTAGTGACGTCATATAACGCGTCAATGACCCATCTCAAGACTCTTATCGTCTCTAACCCTTAACAGATTGCGCACTATGCTCCACTGCTCTCAAAATAAGACTCGAATCTGTTAAATTCAAAAGATGCGAACGATTTTCG